TCCAGCAGTTGTGGTGCTCACTGGGGACACAGGAGACATGGAAGAACTAGGTTCTGGTCCCTGCACTACCTGATTTGGGACAGGGATTTTAACCTAGGTCTTTTGCAGCCCAGGTGAGTGCCCTAACCACTAATGCTATTAGCTATTCTGAGTCGAGCTCTCCTGTTGAAGCTGTTCTACTTTGTATAAATAATTAAATATTCATTATGGGAGAAAGAGTATCAGTCTTTTCAGTTTTCTTAAGAAGAAAGAGTGACCGGGAGTGTAGGGTTGCACCTCTGATATCCGTGAAAATTTTCAAAAAGGTCTCAGTTTTATCCCACTGTGAAATGGGAATTTTTTTGAACTCACTAAACTTCATGCAGGACAGGAAAAGCATTTTCTGCCCTGCTCTATGGCACAGTCCTGATTCCGGTGCTGCAATGGTTGAGCAATATCTGAAATACAGGGGAATGAAAGGTACCAAAAGCAGAACATTTTTTTTAAAAAGTAAAAAAGCGCCAACATGAGAGTAAATCCACAAAATGAAGATTAATGTTAATCTTAGCAGATGTTGTCCATATGACCTGTTTTCCAAAGCACAGATTAATTTATCACATGTTTCAAAGTATAAACAAAGGCAGCCCCCTTAGAAAAAGTGTCCTAGCTTCTTGGGTAAGTCAGATTCTTCTGTTGTTTCACAAGGCTTCCCCATGTGAATTATACAAGGATCCTACTACAGTTAGTCAACTGGAATTCTTCAGTTTTTCCATTTAATGTTCCCATCCAAAGGGTGGCGCTTTTATAAGGTAACTGCTTGTTGCTGTCATTGGGAGTTGAATGTGCTCAGAAACTCGTAGGATCAGCCCTTAAGACATGCAAGGAGAGAGAATTAAGGCTTGTCTACATGGAGTATTAGTCTGCACTAGAGGAGTGTGAATTTGAGCGTGAACTAGCATATACTGGCCCATGTGGACCCTGAAGGTGCACAAAATGTCCCCTAGAGTAGTCCCATTTCAAACAGTACTAAGTTAATGTGCACTAGGGAATGGTTAGTGCACACCAGAAGGGTCCACACAGGCCAGTTAGTGCATCACACATTATTGTACACTAGAATTTACACCCTCTAGCATGGACTAATGCATTGTGCAAGCCCTTAGTCAGAATACAGCAGTTATACTGCAGTACCAGTAATGTTAAGAATGAAAGGACAGTGCATTAATTATACAGACAAAAAGCCATTCTTAAGCTACTCAAACAGTGTCGACATTGCTACCATCCATCCTTGTGTCCCTATGCAGAAACAGCAGCTCATGCAAAGGATTTATAGCTTAGAAAGAAGAATAGCAAGAAATACCAGCACCATCACAAGTGAAAATAGCATATCTTGAAGCCCAAACCTTTTCTCCTAAGCAAATTAAAAAGAGACAGGAATTCCAAGCTCAGGTGAGTGGGGGAAAGATGGTACATTTCCCTTTGTCAGGTTAAGATCAGAATGAAATTCATTTACCTCAGTGAATTAGTAGCAGCGAACAATAGACAGCACAGGAGCCATTAACGAACAGTCCAGGAATAAAGTCTAGATGCAGATTCTCCTTCTCAAAGAGGATGTAATTAGAAAACTGAAAGGAAGCAAATGTGCTTACAAATTTTACAGAATAAAGAAAGAACGAAGATCTGGACAAATATCATCCAGTTAATCTAACTTCATTTCATCATGGAATAATGGAGAAAATAGTAAAAACAAAAAATCTTGGTGAAGTTGCACTATTTCAGTGGTGCCAGGATTGCACCCTAGAGAATAACAGTGCCATAAGCAGTAAGAAGCATGCCTTTATTTGAAAAGAGTATTGCCAAGCAAACTTGGATATTTTAAACATAGAACAACAAAAAAGTGTGGAAAATATAATGGAGATAATATTTTAGTCAACCATTTAATACATTAGGCTTGATTCATATTTCACACTATTTTTGAACTGGTGTGAACTCTACTGACATCAGTGGAATTACTTTAGATTTAAGTGAGATCAGAATGAGGCCCAATTTCTACATCAGTACCTAATATTTTTAATGACAGGTTTCAGAGTAACAGCTGTGTTAGTCTGTATTCGCAAAAAGAAAAGGAGTACTTGTGGTTAGTCTCTAAGGTGCCACAAGTACTCCTTTTCTTTTTGCTAATATTTTTAAGTGACTAATATTTTTGGATGCCTTGATATTTTTTGGTATCCAAAATAAAGGGGCTTTATTTTCAGAAAGGTTGAGCATCTATATCTGAAAATCAGGCCCCTTTAAGTCACTCAAGCAGGACACCCAAAATCACTATGTTTTGAAAACTTAGACCAAAGTGCCTAAATATTCACCATCAGTTGTGTATGTGGAGGAGCTGAAGTAGGAAATTTCAGCAGAAAACTAACCCTATTCTTCCTTCTTTCATCCCGCAATGACTTTCGCATGATGTTTAAAATCTGAGCCAGTGTCTTGTCTGACTCAAAGAAATGGGTTTAATCATACCATAGGAAACTAGGAAGTTGGAAAAAATCTAGTAGGAGATCACCAGCAGTGACAGAGTCACAATGACAATCTAAACCAAGAGCACATTCAAAAATATGGAGATTACTTTTGAACTGGGTGAATAGTTTGAAGAAGCTACAGCAGAGGACATTAATATCAAGGTAAAAAATAGCTGCTGGATATGGGTGTAAATGAGTGTCTCTCAATGTCACTCATTAATAATGAATGAAATAGCTGGAGAAAATGTCCTACTGGAACTCAAAGGTACCTTGTGTACTAGGTACCTAGACCATGGGACTTGTTGAAAATTAGGTGAACTGCTTCATTTTTAAACTGAAGGACTTTGATGGTAAATACTCATTTCCAACCTGGTGTCTCTTCAGAATGTTGTAACCTTAGAGAATGGCTCACTAGTTCAAGCACAGAAGTGGAATGGACAAGAGACTACAGGAAGCTGGCAGATGGGAAATCACCCCCATTTTTTCCTACCACCAATTTTTTGGGGCACAGATCCTCAAAGGTATTTAGCTCTCATGGAAATCAATGGGAGTTAGGTACCTAAATACCTTTGAGGATCTGGACCTGGGTGCTACACAGATACAGAGAATATTGGCGCTCTTTCATGCTGTATATAGTTAGGCTTTCAGATGTAGTTTGTGACAAAAAGGGGGATAGAGTGGGGAAGGAACCCTGGAAAAGAAGGAAAAAGGTAGATGTTGGAGGGTTGACAAAGAAATGGAGAAGCCATAATGAACTGACAGCACTAGAAGCCAACATGCTGCTATATTATTAATTTGCCCTAAGTTGAAAAGCAATTTGAGAAGGATGAAGACCACTCAGTTTAGAGATGGTCTCTAAGTACCCAGCTCACATCTCAGCATCTCCAAAAACCACGATGGTGATCGTGTTCAGGATCTCTTCTCTGGTCATTCTCCAATTGACTTCATTATTAACTTTCTGCCATTGGTGTGCCCTCAGAGAAATCAATTAGAGACTGACCAGAAGAGAGGATACAAGAAAAAAGGCTTTGCTTGTTAATTTTATAGGCTATTTAAAAAAATAAAATCACAAAATTATACTCATTCCTCTTTCATCTCCTTGAGATGTGCAATGCCCCCTCCAGCAGGGTTTGAGCATGAGACCATGCCCTCTTTCTGTACACCAGATAAACTCCAGCTAAGTTAAGAAAGTTCCATACTGCTCTTTCCTCAAAAAAAGGACTGTTGTACACAGGCATATTTTAAAGCAGCATCACTAATGTGAATTGTTGACAATGTTAAATTAAAAACACACTAGAGTGCAAGTGTATTGAGTTTATACTAAATGAAGTCCCTGGTTTGTGTTGATAATCCAGCCCTAAGTGCATGCAAAAGAGCTTGGCACCCATTTTGGCATCAAAATAAGCAGCCTGATTTTCAAAAGGAGCTTAATACATTGGATGCTGAGCTGTTTGGAAAATGGGGTCCTTATGTAGGGGCCTAAAGGAAAGTTGAGTTCTTTTGACAATCTGGCCCCACCTGTGGGCCCTTAGCTTTTTAGGCCACCTTATCCACTAAGACCCATCTGCCTGCCATTCTGAGGGTACTGTTATATTGAATTCACCATACCTTTTCATACTTGTACACCACTTGCCTCCATTAGTGCTCTTGCCCTGGAATGTTTTATACTTCCAAAAAGGTATTCTTCCTGCTTTATGGTTTTCTTAGTAGAATTTTTCTTGCTTGGTTTCAGAGGAAGAGCCGGGTTAGTCTGTATTCGTAAAAAGAATAGGCGTACTTGTGGCACCTTAGGAGACTAACCAATTTGAGCATAAGCTTTCATGAGCTACAGCTCACTTCATCGGATGCATAAAACTGTATGCATCCGATGAAGTGAGCTGTAGCTCACGAAAGCTTATGCTCAAATAAATTGGTTAGTCTCCTAAGGTGCCACAAGTACGTCTATTCTTTTTTCTTACTTGTCACCCAATGATGGAAGTCCTTTAGCCTGAGAATCACATCTATTTCACATTGTTTTCCCATACTAAGATCCAATATTAAAATGGAGGAAGAAAGTCTTCATCTCTGGGGGAGGAATTCCATTCCTGTGGAAACTTCCCCCTTTAGAAAATTGTGACTATTTACCTGTCTCAGGCATATGGAGACTGAGTTCTGTCAGAAGAGCTTTGAGTGTTATAGCCAGATGCACAAAGGTGTTGTCACCATTGCTGCAACCCTATGCATCAGCTTGATTACTTGGTATTTATTAAGATTAAATCTACCTACTCTTGCCATAGTAAGGAAGGGAGTCAAAAGTTACTGGACACCCTGGTCCTTCCCCAGTTTGTTAAGACCCCCCCCCCCCCCCCCCCATTAGCTAGTGCTATATTGTACAAATTCCAAAACCACCATTTCTAGACAGTTGAATGTTTTATTGCATAACCACAAGAGTTCAGATTAGCTACAACACTGCTTTGGCATAAAGTCTGTAAACAGTCTGGTTCGGTCACAAAGCAGACTTGTGGAGTTTCACTCCTGGAACTGAGCTGGTTCTCCACAACTTAGATCCCAGTCCATTGTGGAGACAGGGTTTCTTCATGCAGTTTCATAGACTCTAGTGCAGATAACATTGTTCATGGTACATTCCTAGGAGGACAGATTGTTGAACAAATGTATGTTAGGCAGCATATCAGGTACTCACTTATTTTAAACCAATAGCAAGCTTTAGATAACACCTCCATTCCTCCCTTCAAGCAAGTTAATAGGGAACAACTCAAACTCTCTGTACCTAAAGAGTGTATAGGCCTCTCAATCACGGTTTGGTCTCAGCAGGAGGCCAACCTGACAGGAGTATTTTTAATATTCAAGGCAGCATGGGGAGGGAGCACAGGCACCATTTACTTAGCATAGGAACTGCCCATATATGTTTTCTCTGCAACATCCTGGGTTCAGAGTTGCTACAAAAATTCCCTTTTCCAGCACCCAGGAAACAAGAGCAGGAAGAAATATGGCAAAGAGCCACATTGTCAATTCAGTAGTGACAGATCACATGTCAGTCAACATACCACAATGACAAGCAATGATGCAAGCTCACCAGTCAGTGTGTTAGACTATCATGCTGGGATAGTGGCTCTGCAGGGGATGGTGGGGAGTGTCTTTTACAACAACATTTACTACAACTGGTCAAGACTTAGATTTTCATGAAAAGGGACACAACTTTCATGAGAATTTGACTTTTGGACTTTTACCCACTCATTGCTACACAGCTTTATGTGCACATTTTTCTTCACTTCACAGTTTGGGATAGGCAGATGGAAGGCTAGGAGAATGCCCATGCCTTGAGGGCTTCTCCAGCTCTTCCATCTTTAACACTCCTGAATTTTAGTGTGCAAGTCTCTCACTAGTTTTGACGTTACAGCCCCACCGCCATTCTATCATAATTCACATCCTACATGTTTCCATCCCACCGCCTCATTAGAAGCCAATATGGAACACATGTTGCATTCAGTGATTAAATACCAGGCATTAACTCACCACTACCAGCTTCCCATCCACCAATTTTCTTATTAATGTGGTCTCTTTTCCATCCCATTTCTGCACCTGAACCAGTGAGCCATTGTCTAGTGTTATGATGCTCTGCAGAGACAAGGAAACAAAGTGTTGCTATTTAGTCTGTGTCCCGCAGATTAAAGGAGGTTTGACCACAAGTCCAACATTAACAGATCCCAGTTGACTGGGTATACCTATAGTTCTGCATAACACTTGTAGCACTTTCTTCATGTTAGACATGCTAACTTCAAGAGCAGTTTTGAAATCCTTTCCCTCCCACAACCCCAGCTGGTGCTAAGACAGACTCACCTTAACTTTCCTGTCATCTGCTGTGGTCTCCTCAAACTCCTCACCCAGCTTGAAAGAGATCTCTGTATTTTTGAGGGTACTTAATGTTCTGATGGTTATCACATCTCCATTGGTGCTTATGATTACATTGGGCTTGGCCACACCAACTATTTTCCTGGTAGCAAAGCCCACACCTGTAGATCATGCAGGAGACTATATTAGATAGCCTATTCACTTCCAGAACACCCTCTTGCCTAGTGTTATTGCTTTCAATTAAGGGAAGGCAGGGGGACCAGGGATTTAAAACATTCATGACTTGTTTCTGTGAGAATCTGCCCCTTGCTCTATTTTAGTAATCCTACATTTCAGAGGCTGCCTGAAACTTCTGATAAGGGCATTCCAAGCCCAGTCCAGGGAGTATGAAGTGAGGATATTTTTGGTACAGCCACTATTCTGAAGTGCAATGCCATGCAAATTCAATCCTTTTACTGAATTAAACATTCAGCTGCATATGCCCTTGGAGTTTAAGGGCCAAGAGAATCCTGGTGAGTCAATTTCACCAAGTTATGCAACCTTTCCTTTCCAGAGAGCATAAATGCTTTTAAAGGGATTTAGACCCCTCCTCCCCAAACAAACAGTTTGCTACAGAACTAGTAGCAGTTGAAAAGTGACTAAAAGGCAACACTTGTGCTCTCCATAAGATTTAGGAGAGTTTTCCAGGGTGCTCAAGTCTCATTAAGAAAAACAGGATTTAGAAGTCTGAGAATTTTGCTTCTAGTCTCTAAATGAAAGACTTGCTAGATTACAGTACTAACTCAGAAGAAGCTAGTCAGAGTCTCCAGTCAGTCTATGGGAGAGATAAGACCCTTTAAAGTCAACTTCAATTTAAAACTAGGAGTCTTTAGAGAAGCATATTACCCAGTCAAGACTTCTCCAGGTATCTAGTCAGGAGTCCATGCAATTCCTTAATTTAAGCACACACTAGCCAGCTAGCAGCAACTACTTCCAGTCCCTAGGGTACTTAAATTCCAATTCTAATGAACTAGAAATTCTAGTACTCCAATATCAACATAAGATCATACTTCAATGAAACAACCACTTAGACAGAAATCCAGATTAGACAAGTGTTTAATTACGGATCTTATTATAGTCTCAGCATTCTACTGCTTTGTGTTTCCAAGGGGCAAAGGTATTGAGTACTCCAATGGATTTTTCTACCCTAGACAATAGCACTACTGAATTATTTCTACTAGAAGTTAATTATGCATTATTCAATTAACAGGCTACCACTCCCTCCAGTCCAATTCTTTCTACATTAAGAAGCCTGAATACACTAAACCAAGCAACAGGCTTCCCCAAGAACTCTGCAGTTTAAGATAGTGTGGCTAAGACAGTTAATCAGCTGGGGGGTGGGCAGGAGCAGGGAAGGAAGCCCTCAGTGAATAGTACAGGAAAGTCCCTAAAGCCAGGAAGAAGAAATCTGGATTAAAATGCAAATTCAGTGATCTTTCCCTAAGAAGACACAGATACAACCAGAAGTAACCTCACATAGCATTCCTTACCCAGTTCTCTCATATAATCCTCAAAGTTTTTACTAGAATTGAGTTTCCAGGTGCCTACAAATAGATCACACATTATGTGAGGCTTGTTAAACAGGCTTCTGCAGGAATCAGGCAACAACTCTCACTATCAGACAAGAAGGTAGTATGACTTCCATAAGACCACATCACCTGTTTAAAAAGGATCCTTGACCATGTGACCCTCTGGGATGACCAATGGTGAGAGAGAATATCAGGAACTCCAATTTGAGCATTGCTCCTTTTTTTTTTTTTTTTCCTTCTTAGTAAGTCATAGTGTTGTTATTCCTTTATTTTCTCTCATTGGCACATGGATCACTGTGTCCTCAGCACTTAATGGTCTTTAGCATTCAAAAATACTGTGCATTAAAGAAAAATATTTAAGAAGCATTTTGTTCAGGAAGAAAAGTCTACAGCATTAGGCCCTGATCAGTGGGACAACTCACAGTGCTTAATAAAGTTAAGCACATGTGTAAATTTTTGCAGGATTGGAGTCTGAATCAGTTTCTGTTCAGCTGACATTTCTTGCACCTGCTTAGACCTTGCTATGATCCCAGGAACAGATTTTTGCCCTTTTCCTGCAACTGAATGTGCATGCGTGGATCTCTCTGCCCATTTGGAACCCTGTTGTTAGTTGCAGGATCTGGGTGATAGTTTATCCTAACCCCATTAGGGTTGCACATCTATTAAAATAAATTGTATTGTTCCTATCCACAGAATTCTAGTGCTAATTATTGTTATTTGTTAAGTGCCAATGGTGTGCTTACTGCAGAATGGGACAGCAAAGGAGACAATGTTCCTGCTCTTAGAAGCTTATGCCCAGATCCTCAAAGGTATTTAGGCACCTGAAATTCATTGAAATCAATGGGAGACAGGTGCCTAAATACCTTTGAGGATCTGGGCCTTACAGTCTAAACAGATGGACAGCAAAAAACACACTGGTAGAGCCATGCTAAGGTTTGATCATAGAAATTTATGCTCCCTACCTCTTGTTGCATTTCTCCCCTCTTTATTAAACAAATATAGTTAGAGTAATAGATTTTAAGACTAGAAGGGAGCATTATGATCATCTGACCTCCTGCAGAACACAAGCAACAGATTTCACACAGAACACACTCGAGCAAGCCTAGCACTCCTAGGCTTCATGTTAGAAGTGAGTTTTGAGGAGAGGGACCTCACTGAGGAGCTTCCTATCAAAGCTGGACCTCTCTGATCAAACCAGGCAGCAGGTCTTTTTTCTGTCAAGGTTTCAGTAGCAGAAAGTGTAGTATGCTTGGGCAGGGCGGAGATTTCAGGTCAGTTAAACTGGTAAATTTCTGCGGCTCTGGTTGGGTATCTAAGAGGATTCTCCAATGAAGCGCCTGCTCTTTGTTGGTTTAAGCCCTGATTCTGTAAGGGGGCTCCGTGGAAACCCATGCGTCTGACTAGATGTTCCTTCCAGCTGCATTACATGCACAGGCTACACTCTTCTCCACATGTCCCTTCCAACACTTACTTCCAATTACTTCACATTTCTCTTAACTGGGCTTCCAGCAAGTCTTCATTACTTATACCTTGTACAGACTGAGCATTGTTGTGATGATCACAATCACCAGCAATCTTAAATGGGCTATCTAGACAGTAACAGATTGATTTTAAGGTGGTCTTGTCAGTTTTTGAAGTCATGGAAGGGGTTTGGTGGTATTTGAGACCTAGCTCCCCTGCACACATGCACTCTCCCAGTGAGCAGCATCTTGGCATGTATCTGTGTTCTGGCACCACCCATTGTTAGAAGTTCCACTATTGTGATTTATATCAGGGAAAGTGTGGTCTAGTGATTGGAACACTAGACTGGGACCCAGAGAAGACTTGGATTTTACTCTTAGCTCGTGGCACTGTGCCTTTGTTTCCCCTCCAACCCTTTGCCTTGTGTATTTAGATTGTCAGCTATTTGGGGCACAGACTGATATGTTTGTACAGCATCTAGCACAATAAGGCCCAGATCTCGATTGGGCCTCTAGGCACTATGTCTAAACACAAATAATAACTAATATTAGTATTAGAAGGCAACTGAGCTTTTGCCATAGTGGCCAATGCACCATTTGCTGGACCCTCTTCCTAACTGCCCTGTGAAGTTCCAGTGCCAGAAAGCAGCACTTCAAGCACTGGTGTCAGCTCCTGCCAGTGGGAACATTCTGCTGGTGTAGAGCCATTGTGGAAGTTAAAGTTGGGCATCTGGGCCCAAGCAGGGGGGCAGGAACAATTTGTACAGTAGGAGTGCTGAGAGCCATTGAACCAAACTGTAAACCCTGTATGTGATGGAAACCACTTCAAGCCATGCGGTCCTGCCACACCCCCAGGACCCCTAGTTCAAGCACCTATAGGCCCAAGTGCTTTATAAATAACATTATTAATGGCATATGATTAGGAGTTTTTTGAAACAATTAGCTTCTTGAGCCTTCATACATCTCTTTAAGACTGTGCTGCTCTTGTCTTGGAATGGTGATTTTCTTTTTTTGTTTTTTATTTCTGGAGAAGCTATGTTTTAAATTGGGGCTAAAATTGTGATTTTTTTTTTATCCTTTGCTGTATTTACTGACTGTGGGTTTGTGCTAAAAGAAATCAAACTAAAATTCTATTCACTGGAGTCCATGATAACTTTCCTGACTGGTTATCTCATAATGTCACATGTTCAGATCAGCTTTAAAAACAGACTTTCAGGGTGTGTATAGCTTAGGCTCTTTTCTTGGCTCTCTTTGAGAGTTGCTATTGTTTTCTTGAGTGTGTCTACTGAGCAAATCCTCACAATGTGTGACCTGTTCCTAGGAACTTGGAAACTCAGCTCCAGTGAAAAATTTGATGATGACATGAAAGAGCTGGGTGAGAAATGTTGTAATGTGTGGGATTTAGAAAGGATATGTTCTAGTTGAACTCTGCTCCTACATTTCTTCACTCTGCAGCTTCCCAGTGCTCATTTCTTCAGAAGGGACATGAGGGGTTTATTTTGAGAACTGTAAGCTGACAAGGGAAAGTGGCTCTCTGATGTGAACTGTTCTCATGAATGCTGCCCCTTGAGCTGCTCTTAGTGGAAGACTGAGCATGTCTTTTGGGGGTGGGGGAGGTAAATGGACTATGGAAAGGAGAGAATAATAGGGGTGAGGTGCCTGCTGTGTACATAAGTAAACTAAACATTATGAAACTTAAACTCTAGGTAACATGGGGTCTAGAGCTCCATTGCATTGCATCTCATGTAGTCACTTTGCACAGGTGTATCAAATGCTACCTATCTTAACTGATCTTGTTATCACTTTGCATGAATGACTCAAAGTGCAAACTAGTAAAGAATTAGACCCATAGCATTGTTTCAACAAAGCTTTGTTCACCTTACAAGTGAACTGGAATATCTTGCTGACTTTTAGACTCTACCGCAACAAGGAAATTGATGTAGGTGCCTTTCTGTAATTTACTCAAACTATACATGAGAGGACTGCTCTGTAAGACATGATACAAGCACAAGTGTAACATTGATGCTGTTTCTTCGTAAAACTACTATATAAATTTTGCTTCATCTCAGTTGGACTAAAGGATCTAAGCCAGAGGTGGGCAAACTATGGCCCACGGGCCACATCCAATCCACGGGACTGTCCTGGGGTGGAGGTTTGTGGGGGAGGCAGTCAGGAGACAGGGAGCGGTGAGGGTTGGATGGGGGTGGGGTCCCATGGGGCCCTGGGGGGGACAGAGAGTGGGGGAGTTGGATGGCGGTACGGGAGGGTTGCAGGGGGGGACAGGGAGTGGAGGGGGTGGATGGGTCAGGGGTCCTGTTAGGGGGTGGGGTCACAGGGGGGAAGGGGCAGTCAGGGGACAGGGAGCAGGGTGGGTAGGATAGGGGGTGGGGTTCTGGGTGGGAAGTTGGGGCAGGGGGTCCTGGGAGGGGGCGGTCATGGGACAAGGAGCAGTAGGGGTTGGATGGGTCGGGGATTCTGAGGGGGGTAGTCAGGGAGTGGGAAGTCCGAGGGGGTGGATAGGAGGCGGGGGCCAGGCTGTTTGGGGAGGCACAGCCTTCCTACCTGGCCCTCCATACCGTTTCACAACCCCAGTGTGGCCCTCGGGCCAAAAAATTTGCCCACCCCTGGTCTAAGCACTACAGTAACAAACTGCTGGTACAGAGAGCACAGGAGACTAGTCCTACTCTTATTCCTTTAACTTTTATCCCATGACCTTAACGAGTATCTGAGACATCTTGTAACTTGCAGGTGTGAGTTTAGCCACCAGGAAACTGGGCAGCCTCACCAAACCCACTGTGACCATCAGCATTGATGGGGATGTGCTAACAATCCAAACCAAGAGCACTTTCAGAAGTACTGAGGTCTCCTTCAAGCTTGGGAGGAGTTTGAGGAAACCACAGCAGATGACAGGAAAACAAAGGTGAGGGCTAAACAATGGGGGCAAAGTGACAAGCCTTATAGAGGCAAAAACCCCAATCTTTCCTAACCTCCTGCAGACTGAATAACTTCTAACCTGCAGGACAGTGGGCTAAACTCTTTACTTTGAGGTTTGTGTTTGTTTTTGGTAGAGTATTGCAACCTTCGATGATGGCTAACTGACTCAGGTGCAGAAGTGGAATGGCAAGGAGAGCACAATAAAGAGAAGATTAGTGGATAGGAAGGTGGTGGTTCCATTCCTGCTATTTGATCACTGAGCAGTGTATCTCCACAGTAAATGCTTCGCAAGTTGAACTGTAGCAAAGATGACTGACTAACTTTTTTTAACCTGAAGGAAACTCTTAGAGGCAAAGAACTCTACCTTATGTCAGCATTGCATTGCTGCTTCTCTAAGTGTTTTCTGAAAACCATGTGTGATAGTACTTGTTGAACTGCATATGGAGGCATTTTAAAATCATACTGTGATAACTTCCCCCTTTTTCGGAATGTACCACGAACAACGTCACGTGCATCAGAATATATGAGAAAGCAAGAGGACATCAATCCCTGTCCACTGGGCTAGAAACTCCCCGAGATGGCCCTTGACAAGAAAGCTCCAGTAGAAGTTTCTGTTTCCAGCTCAGGTGTGTACAGGCTTGTCTCGGAGTAACAAAACCGCTTTCAGACACTGAATATCGGAGGCCGCATTCGTTGTTAGCTTGTAACTA